ATTATGGAGCTTTAACTGAATTGGGATAAATAAGGTCTGTGAAATTAACTATAAAAATAATACAAGAGTGTTGAAAACACAAACAAATATAACAAGTGATTTTGTTTGGGTTGGTGATAAAATAGTTAAATGTAAAATGTAAAATATGATGAGGCTACATTCTATATACTTTTGTGTCGAAGTTTTGGATTTTGCAACTGCGATTAAAGTTATAGTCTCATTATAGTTATAGTAAACAACTCTGTTTAGGACATTGTGTCACTCAACTGCTTGGAACAATGTACCCAGCTGGTACTAGAATGGTCCACGATTGGTCAAGAAAATTTCCACCCAACATTACAACAGTCAATACTGTTGCCACAAGATAGGATGTTAAATTCTTATGCTACCATCTGCTTAAACAGTCAACATATTATTCTCCGCCTCACCTATTGTACAACACTGTGGAATATGTTGGAACTAAAGACATAATTGTAACTGAGTGATAAGTTGAGTATTTGTAACCTGTCAGTTAGAATGACTTGGGCAACACTCCCCTTACATGTCATGTTAAAGGAACACTACAGGGTCAGGAACACAAACATGTATTCTTGACAGTATAGTGTTAAAAACACCATCTAGCCCCCTCTGATTATAGTTAAATCTTACCTTTATTCCAGTCTGTTCTGCTGACTCTGCTCCTGATCTATCTGCTTGGCTGACATCATCAGCAGTGATGATCTCAGGCAAACAATGCTTTCCCATAGGAAAATAGGAAAGCATTGGATTGGCTGAGATTGTCAAGCAGGTAGAGCCAGCACAAGCCAAACACAGCCCTGGCCAATCAGGATCTCCTCACAGAGATGGAGACACTGAATGGCAGTGCTACTCATTGTACATCATTACCACAGGAGGCATCTCTAGTAGCCATCTGAAGAGTGGCCACTGGAGGCATCCCTAGGCTGCAACATACAGTGTTTACTGCAAAAAGCCTGCAGGGACTGACTATACTCACCAGAACAAATACAATAAGCTGTAGTTGTTCTGGTGACTATAGTGTCTCTTTAAGATATCTTTGCTCACACAACATACACTCACTTCTGGTATATTTACTATAAACTCCAGTGACTGGAGAAAAACTGGAAAAAGACAGTTGTCTCAGACGCCGTTTGGCTATATATTAAACAAATACGTGTACCAAAAAAAAGGATATTGAGAGTATATGAAAGTTGTGAATATACATCAGTTTGAAGTGGGACAGACATTCACAAGAGCATGTGTAAACAAAGTTCTCTCCATAACTACTCAACCCCCTCCACATACATCACCTGAGAAATCATTGGTTCTACATTCAGCCATCTTGAATCTCTACTGTAAGATGTAGTATGTGTAGTGCTTGGAGTGGCTCACTAATGTTCTTTATGTGAGCATACCTCTGAGCTCCCACAATGTCATGTGGACTGTGGTCACACCATTAACTGTGTGGGAGAACATGGATGAGCTTAAACCTCCCTCCTATTTTATCAATAAGGCTGTACATATAATTAGAAGGGAGTGTTTATAATAATACACCCTACCCATGCTTTTAAACAACTTAAAGCTCATTATGAGAGTGAGCTCTCTTCTAAACAAAGAGTAATGAAGAAAACACAATAAGTGCAACTGCACATTGTAGCATCAGACCAGAGGCTGTCATATATCATCATTAGCCATTATTTGTTTGCAGACAACAAAGGAGGGATCAAGGCATCAAAGGAGCGATCATGGCAGTATACAATACACTATACATACAGTATGCTTATAAAACCTAATACAATGTGCAGGAAGTTAATGCATCATTTTCATTAAAAGGACACTGTAGGCACCATAACTGCTTCATCTCATTGAAGTGGCTGTCTGGTGTCCCTGAGGATGTCCTCCCATTCAGGATTAAACGGAGTGCCAGGGGACTCCAGTCACTATAAGCTGATTCTATGAGATTAAATAGTTATAGTACCTACAATGTCCCTTTAAGATGATTTCCTGAAGTATTTTGCTGCTTAAAGACACACGCTAGGTACCATAATCACTTCAACTCACTTTTCATTATCGGAACAAGTTTGTCCAAGTGTGGACATTAATGATAGTCAGTAAGTGCTTGGGGGTGGCAGCAGAGAGATCAGGCAAGTCCAGTTCACTAAACAGCAATTTGAAAGCTCACAGAATGTAATATTTGTTTAAAAACATCTAGCCTAGGCAAGATAATGGGGATTTAGTTACAGTATTGCATGACCCTGCCACAATGCCAATGTACTCCATGGCAGGCATATGATCACTAGCCCCCCCTATATATATATATATATATATATATATATATATATATATATATATATATATATATATATATATATATATATATAGATATCTATATATATATATATATATATTCAGATAGTGATCAGCACTCTCGGATTTTTGAAGGTTTAAAACTTACAGTTTATTAATCATCCATTAAAAAAATCAACGTTTCAGTCCCAGCAGGGACTTTCATCAGAATCATGCCTGATCCTGATGAAAGTCCCTGCTGGGACAGAAACGTTGATCTTTTTTTTAATGGAAGATTAATAAACTAAGTTTTAAACCTTCAAAAATCCAAGAGTGCTGATCACTATCTGAATATATTTGAATTTTCCTGGATTTCAAGCACCCGGCTACCGGTTCACTAAAGCGTGAGTGCAAGGGCTTTCTACATTTTTTATATATATATATATATATATATATATATATATATATATATATATATATATATATATATATATATATATGTATATGTATATGTATGTATGTAAATGAAACTTATTTAAGAGCAAAAAGTTGTAAGATAAAAAAACCTGCACAAAAACTGTATTCCTAACACTATAGTATGGCCCTATCCCTAATTTACTAGGTCCTCAACTCGCAAGCATGAAATGGGTTAAACCCCCCCTCCCCTTTTTTTCTTACCTTATTCAAGCACTCAGTGCTGGAACAGTTCCTCTTCCAGTTATGTCACGTCGATGTAGGAGCCTAATGCACATGCGCAGCAAGCGTAATGCACTTTAGATCTTCATCAAGCAATGCAATTTTGAAAACACTGGGCGTCCTCATGCAAAGCGCAACAACATCCAATGTCGTTTCACAGAGTTAAACTCTGTGAAAATGCAGCCACTAGAGGTTGTCTTAACTCTGTAATGTAAACATTTCACATTGCAGGGATAAGGGGACAGGGGCACTTCACCTAGACCACTTCAATGTGATGAAATGATCTGGGTGCCTAGAGTGTCCCTTTAATGCATAATAATTGACTATACTATCACAGTTTTTCCAACCGAAATGGAGAACATGTAAACAAAGAAACAAGCCTAATGACAGCATTTTTGAAGGTATTTATTGTTTTTAAAATGAAGACTAGATTCCGATGCTAATTTTACAATGGAAGAATGAGTCTCCAATCAAGTGACATACAAATAATGCAAGCACCTGTTAAAAAAAAAAAAAGGTTAGGAACAACTGCTACAGTAGGTTTAACAGCAGCTATCACAATATCTAACAGTTAAGTTTCACATTTAAATAAATGGGCTATCTTAACCATTAAAGGGACACTATAGTCACCTGAACAACTTTAGCTTAATGAAGCAGTTTTGATGTATAGAACATGCCCCTGCAGCCTCACTGCTCAATCCTCTGCCATTTAGGAGTTAAATCCCTTTGTTTATGAACCCTAGTCACACCTCCCTGCATGTGACTTGCACAGCCTTCCATAAACACTTCCTGTAAAGAGAGCCCTATTTAGGCTTTCTTTATTGCAAGTTCTGTTTAATTAAGATTTTCTTATCCCCTGCTATCTTAATAGCTTGCTAGACCCTGCAAGAGCCTCCTGTATGTGATTAAAGTTCAATTTAGAGATTGAGATACAATTGTTTAAGGTAAATTACATCTGTTTGAAATTGAAACCAGTTTTTTTTTTCATGCAGGCTCTGTCAATCAGAGCCAGGGGAGGTGTGGCTAGGGCTGCATAAACAGAAACAAAGTGATTTAACTCCTAAATGACAGTGAATAGAGCAGTGAAATTGCTTGGGAATGATCTATACACTAAAACTGCTTTATTTAGCTAAAGTAATTTAGGTGACTATAGTGTTCCTTTAACACTTTGAAAATCTGGATTATGGTTATACAGAATTAAGAAATTACATTGGGGATGGACAGTGTGTTTCTTCTTCATATCTGGCAAACCAGCAAAATTCCAAACGGTTTTTGAATTTGTATAAAACAGTTTTACATTTAACTAGATAATAGGAAGTTATACACTGCATGTTTGAACTGTACATAATTCCTATGAGGTTCTCATGAATAATAAAAAAAATAAAAAATACTAAATGAAGAGACAAACTCTTTTCCTGCATGAAGGTTACAAATTAGTCTGAATTTGGAAAGTAAATAAAATTACTTTTACAGAAGACAATTGCTGCGTGAGCCAAGTGCACTTGAGGTGGGATTGTAGAATACTGTGATTTGATTATGGTTTATATCCTGTCCACTGGCTGATATTCTGAGCATACACTGAAAAATTGGCATATTATTAATACATTAAAATTCAGGTTATACTACACCTAACAATAAAATTAATATCCCTAACCTTAGGGATTCAGGCGACAGACAGCCAATAGCTGCATGGTTCCACTCTCTGTGACACTCCTGTCCTCCCTCAGCCTACACTACCTTGCATCTGCACCCTCCAGCACAGTGAGTTACGTCAAAAAAGGAGAAATGAACGGAGGGAGAACTTGGCCACTGCACTGGAAAGTAAAAGATTTTTGGTTTTTGGTTTAAGTTGGAACTGAGCTACATGGTCCATTGTTATGCTACTTTGTTATACAAGAATTTGTAACACCTCGGAATAAAATGTCTGGTGACCACAAGTGAGTTTTTACTATCTGATGAAAATTCATGTCAGTGGCAAAATTGGATTGAGGCAAAAATATTTATTTTCACACATACAGAGTTTATAGTTTATATTTACAAGCAAATTCGGCCACATGTCCTATAAATGCCATGAAATATGTCTGACATCTTTCACTCATGTCAAATACTTCTTTTGAAGTCAGATTCCATAAAGCAGAAATATGGTCAGTTGCCTTTCTTGTAATGGTCGATAGATACGAACATCCTGAATCTATATATTCATGAACATTCAGATGATAGTCATAGAAGAAGCCTGAAAAAAGTATTGCCACCACCAGGCAAAGAAGTAGAACTCTAATAGACAGCAGCACCTGAAAGGGAAATTTTGTCCGAATATTATATTTTTTCTTGGGAGATTCTGGTGGCAAACTAAGTTTATCCACATCTGCAAGTTTAACGGTATCCCACATGCTAGTATCAAAATTCTTCATAGATGGGCTTACTGTCACATCGGAGACTGATGGTAATGGAGCTTTCTTGATTATATTTATCTTCTCCCTAAATTCCTGCACTTGCTGTAGGAACAGAAGAGGGTCAGATATCTCCTTAAAATCCTCAGCAATATCGCAAGCCTTTTTCTGGTCCTTAAGAAGAGCATTCAGTTTGTTGATTTCTGGATCGTATGCCTGCATCACACCCAGCTTCATGGTTTCAAAATCAGAGAGGATCTCATTTTTCTTCTGCTCCAGGACGTGTTGCAGTTTTTCAAAGTAGGCCTTTACTTTATCCGAATCCATAGAAAGTAAATGGAGAGCCTTCCTTTTATTTGTTTCCAAGGTTTTAAGGTGGGACAGCACATCATCACAATGCCAGTTCTCGGATTGCATTAGCAGAGACTGGACGGAACTCTTCTCCTGGTTGTAAGCATTGTCGATTGAGGAAAACGTATGACCTTTGTGTTCCTCACTGGTGGCACAGAACCCACAGATGAGTTTTAGATCCGTTGAGCAAAACATATTTAAAGGTTGTACGCTGTGCACTTTGCACACGGGCATCTTTGGTGAAACCTTAATTTTATTGTATTTCTCTACAATCCCTTTCAGCAAATAGTTGGCCTGATAGCCATTAACGCCCGTTGTAGAAGTCTCCTTACGGCAGGTAGGACACTTCAAAGAGGACGGCCTCCATAACATATTCCTGGAATTTCCTTCAATAATCCCTTCCAAACATTTCTTACAGAAACTGTGTGAACAGGGCAAAACACGTGGGTCTTCAAAAAGACTGCAGCAGACTGGACACGTCAAATCTTCTTCCAGCATCTCCATCACATTCTGTAAGAAAAATATAAAATAGAAGTTATGAAATAAAAAAAATTTGTAGGCTTCATTTTCTGTAAAATCTAGAAATGCCTTAGTCCAAAAAAGAAAAATATAAGTTTACATTTATTTCTACAACAGTATCTTGTGATCCATGCATACTGATATTTTTCACAAGACCAAGATTTCTTATTATGTTTTCATAGTGACATAGCAGAATAGAGACAGCTTTTTAATACATGGTAAAAGTTACAAGAAGCAGGGTTATTACACTAAAAGGTGAATTGTATGGAATTTAAAATAGTCAAACTGAAATGATATATTAGAGGGTGAATATTTCCAAATCAGCTATGGTGGCCTAAAAATGTAAAATTTGTTTTGAATTCCCATTAATTCACACTTCTGTAAATATCCCTGTATGACATTTCCTTGAGTAAAATGATATGGGAGGAGTGTAAAGTGGTAAAGAAACCTTCAGCTATTCATAGTAATATTTTTCTACTTTAAAGACACATCTCATTGAATTATGAGTTATAGTGCCTGGAGTCCTCTGGCACCATCTATCTATTTAGAGTTAAACAATTTTGAGCAATTTAACACTAAATAAGGGTGATTATACACTTCATTCTAGTCATACCAATTCATATCATCCATGGGTGTTGTGACAGGCTGCTGGGAACTCATGTAGCATTAAAACATTAAAAACAGTTTATTGCTGAGTGCAAGGGCGGTGGCAGGGGATTCCAGACACTATAACCACTTCAATAAGATGAAGCGGTTACAGTGCCTAAAGTGTCCCTTTAAAGTGAAACTGTAGGCACCCAGACCACTTCAGCTCATTGAGGTGGTCTGGGTGCTGTGTCCCTTTTGCACTTAGTGCTGCATTGTTAAACATTGCAGTTCCAGAGAACTGAAATATTTACATTGCAGCTCTAAGTCTGCCCTCAGTGGCTATCTAACAGACAGCCACTAGAGGGCTTCCGGAATCCAAACGGACTTTTGGCTTTCCTATGGGGAGGTCTAATGTGCGCGCTAGACCCCACTTGTTGCGGGCTGGAGGAGGGGGCGGAGCTATGACCCAGCACTGAGTGACATCGGCGCTGGGAAAAGGTAATTAAATAAAGGATTTTTAACCCTTTATTTATCGGGGAGAGGGGTAGGGGCGAGGGAGGGGGAGGCAGAGGGATCAGTAGTGCCAGGAATACAGCTTTAATTTTCTGGCACTACAGTATCCCTTTAAGTATTTTTTTCTAACTCAGGTACTGTAAATTTGGCTTAGAAAAAAAGTGTTTACGGTTTATGACAAAACATAGAGGAAATACAGGACATACAAGAGTTTATCCATGTTAACTGCCATTAGCTCGATGATCAAGGCCATGTTCACACAGCAAGATCTTTCAAGCTACCTGCAATCAATAAATACCCCATCAACCTCATCTGTGTCAAAACAAATTACTCAGGCAATCCACTACTCTTTCTGCTGTTTTCCTCCATAATGATCTAACCGGAAGCATCATCTATTTTACATGGTCAATTACTGGCAAGCTCCAAACATGATGTGAAATACTGCTTAACTTGAAGGCAAACAATGCAAATAATGGTCAACATGGTCTTACATCAGATGAGGATCTATCCAAGTTTTTTTATTAATGCTAATTCCGGAATCACTAAATATTTATTTTGTGCTTATAATTTTGATAGGAAATTCTCTATTCTGGTGACAATAAAATGTTATTTACACATGTCTACTTAATTGGCTTGCACGGTGAGCAGGTGGAATCTCATTTTCACAAAAAAATTATACCATGTCAAATACATGTTGTTGGAGGGATTCTTATAATAAACAAACATATATTATTTGTTTTTCTGTTTTAAAACACTGGCTTTACTACTGGCTTGATTTCCTGTTAATGACAGTACTGTGTCAATCTAGAACAAAACCCTAAATGTCCCGAAACTAACCCTAAATTTCCCTCCATTTGCCTTAAAATGGCACTGTTACTTGAAAATGTTTTTCCATAAATCAGTGTTACAACCAATACAAATAGGTTAATATTATTTCCATCTAACAAAACTGTAGTAAGTTTATTTGGAATTATCACTCGGATCAAACAGTGTTTCAGTCTGAAGGCAACCATCTTGGAATTGTATTATAATTTTTTTTTAAATGTTCTTTTATATTAACTGATAAAAAAAAAAACAAGATGGCAGAGATCATGTGATGCCAGAAGTAAATTTAGAGCCTGAGATTTGAAAAGCGTAATATGAATTTCTGAAGAGATCTCTGTAACTGTTGACAACACTGACTGGGAATCCTTACAAGTTACTGTTAATATTAAACAATCACTAACATTTTGTATAGGGACACTGTAGGTACCTAGACCACTTCATCTCAATCAAGTGCTCTAAGAGTCATGTCCCCATATTTTAACCATGAAAATGAAAACACTGCCATTTTGCAGAACGACAATGTTTTCATTCAAACAGCCACTAGAAGCGCTTCCGAGGAAATAGCAGTAAAACTCTTGTATCTCTATCATATGGTCTTAGAGAGTGTGGCTTTTTGCTGCGCATGCACATTAACCTATAGGAAAGCATTGGATTGGATGCGATCATCACTCTCCATGATCTCAGTCGAGGCAGCACAGAGAATGGCGCTGCAAGATAGAAAGAGGTATGTAAACTATGGCACTAGGGAAACACATTTATATTTTCCGAATACTATAGTGTTCCATTAAGTGTCATGGACAAGGGCGCATTTTCAGAAATGTAACATAAATACACTCAACGATTCTAACTTTCTCTGCTGTGCAGTAGTTCTATCTGAAACCCACATTTATGGGATATCTGTAAAATCCTAAATACGCATAATTTAGTGATGTAGTGGCATAGGTTTGAACAATCACTATAATAGTGAGAAGTCTATTATCAATTCCAAAGGTAACTAAACAGGGACTTTTCAGAGAGCAACACTACCGGCCTGAACATAATTAAATATTTACCTACAGCTTGTAGGAAGAAAAAAAACCACACAGACAGGATCACAATCAAATCCGAATGGCAAAATGTAGGCTAAAATAGCAATAGAAGAGTAGATGACTATTTTCAGACCCGCTATCTGCAGGAGATAAAGAACAAACAATGTTAAAAAGGTTAAAAAATAGCTTGGCTACTTTTTGCCTAAATTTGCAATTCAGGTTTCGATTTACCCCAATATGTTGTTTTATGAATACACTGCACCGTTTTTTCCTTTAATAATGTTTTCCCAAAATTAAATATTGTCTAAAAACATATATAGTTTATATAACAATGACTCAATGCTCATGACACAAAAGAGAGACAGTGCCCTTTTCACAAACAATGAGTTAACCTTCAGAGGTGTGTTTCATTATTACAGACCTAAGCAAATAAAATGCAATAATGCTTACGCTCCTTTCTAATTAAAACGCCTGCAAAAAAAAAAGAAAAAGTCGAACCACCTATTCACTGAAGTATGGAGGAAAATTTGTCATTATGGGCTCTCCCACATCCAAACAGTATTAGCAACAGCAATATACAGACAGACAGTTATGTAGCCTGGATTCTTTTCTGATTTCCACATATTAAAAAAAAACAAAAAACATTTCTTTAACTCTACAACTACAAAATGGAATAGAACACACACAAGTAAATAGCACTATAAATACACATACATATACACTAATTTCCCCAATTCCCAAGAACATTCTTTAAGGGGGTTGCCTTCAGTCATTACTGTTTCTGTGGACTCTGGTAGAGCCTGGTAGAAGTTGCTCTCCCCAGCAGCCTTAGTGCCAGTGTATGGTAAACAGAAAGCATTGCAGGAGCTGGTGCCCTCAGTCAGAAGTGAATGCAAAGCTTGACAGACATTCTATTTGGAATTCTGTGATCAGGCCCCACATAGCTCACCATAAAGCAGCTCTGGACACAAAATCTGAGTTCCTGGGTTAACCCTTCAAAGGCAGGGGGTCTCAGCAGAACCTACTGCATGCTCTCTGCAGCTGCTTCTTCTCCCTCATAGGAATCCAGCTTGTTCACTCCCCCAGCCTGTGCAGTGCCAGCCCAGGTCATAGCAGGAGCTGCTACCCAGACATTCTACTCTATGCCACTTCCTAAACCAGGCGCCTCCCCCTGCTGCCCCGCCTAGAGCAATGGCTGCAATGCTTTTCTAGCAGTCTGATCCCTGCCTATGGGAAAGCACGGCATGGCGAGGAAACAGCTGTTATTTTACCAAAATAGGCAGGGTACTGACTGTGCCATCATGCTGGTGGGGCTGAGAGAAATGCATTCTTAGGATTAATAGAGGAGGCATGTTCTTGTGTGTGAGAATTATTACAATGACCTACAAAAAGTGTAGTGTAAGGAATTTTAATGTTTATTGCTTGTTGTATTACTTGTTTAATGTCTTGTTTAATAGCAAAGTGAAAGCAAGATACTGACAAAATAAGCAGAACATTTATTCCCAAACCTGGGAGTTTTAAGACAAATTGTGGTAAATTCAAACCTTTAAACTAAAGGAAATTACCTAAATTTACAATCCTATGAAGTGTACAGATCTACCTTCCGAAAAGTCCACCTTCCAATACTCACGGAACTTGTGTGAAATCCCTAATTAGAGCGCCACACTCCAAACACAAAAATGTGCAGTCTGTCACAATTTGTACGTAGAATGCTAGCTCATTTAATTTAAATGGTGGCATGGCACACCTCCTTACGAACACAACACTCGCCACGTGTGCGCTTTACGTTTCCCCTTACAATGACTTCCAAGGAGACGGAGCCTTTGGTGCTAGAAGTACGTACGTGGTTTAAACTGGTTTATAACCATTTCATTGCTTATGGGGGTTTTGAGGGACACTAGAGTGTTGGGAATACAGCTTTAATAATATATAACCTTATTAAAGGAACACTATAGGGTCAGGAACACAAACATTTATTCCTGATCCTGTAGAGTTAAAACCACCATCTAGCCCCGCTGGGCCCCTCTTGCCTCCATAAATATAGCAAATTCTTACTTGTATTCAAGCCTGAAGCTGTAGCTCTGCATGCTGTTTGCCTCAGAAAAACAAGCTGTCTGTTGACATCATCAGAAGTGGTGACCAAGTACAATCACAGTGCTTCCCCATAGGATTGGCTGAGACTTACAAGGAGGCAGATCAGGGTCAGAGCCAGCATGATTCAAACACAGCCCTGGCCAATCTGCATCTCCTCATAGAGATGAATTGAATCAATGAATCTCTATGAGGAAAGTTCAGTGTCTGCATGCAGAGGGAGGAGACACTGAATGTTTGGATACATTTTAGGCAGCCATGACCCAGGAAGGATCTCTAACAGCCATCTGAGGAGTGGCCAGTGAAGTTATCACTAGGCTGTAATGTAAACACTGCATTTTCTCTGAAAAGACAGTGTTTACAGCAAAAAGCCTGAAGGTAATGATTCTACTCACCAGAACAAATTAAAAAAGCTTTAGTTGTTCTGAGACAGCCACTAGAGGATTTGTAGGAAGGCTTAACCCATTGATAAACATAGCAGTTTCTCTGAAACTGCTATGTTTATAAAAAAAAATGGGTTAACCCTAGAAGGACCTGGCACCCAGACCACTTCATTAAGCTGAACTGGTCTGGGTGCTTAGAGTGGTCCTTTAACAACTACACTCCATTGACAAATGGGTCCATTGTCGATTTAGAATGAGTAATGGCAGTAATGGACCACAAGGTGTTTTCAGGGGTACTTTGTTTACTGCAGAAGTTGTACAAGAACCAACATATTGTTTTATGTCTTTTTCTGTATAGACGGGCACCAGAATTGTTTGTTTAAAATGTTAAGGTCTTTCTTATTCCTGACTGTCCTGCTGATTTTTGAGAGTGATAAAATTACAAGACTTTCCTCAGGACCAACATATAATTTGTGTAATGGGTTATCAAAGGGTGCCTGCATCCTATCAAGTAAAGAGGAGAACAATGACAAGTCAGTTGTAGCAATTATTCTTTCATGAGGGACAATGGAAGATATTTCAACAATATCACCTGCCTCGGTGCCAAACAGTCCTGAAAGAAAATCGATCTTGGTATTGCGTGATCCAGGCCGGTATGTTATGACAATGAAATTAAGACAGAAATAGGGACTGCCTATCTTTCCTGGAATGTAGTTGTTTAGCCCCACTAATATAAGACAGGTTATTATGATCTATTATAATCAAGATTGAATCCTTAGAACCTTCCAACAAGAATTTCACACACTGTAACTCTCTATTGCCAAGCATAGGCGTGCGCAGCCTATTGCATTAGGGTGTGCACCCTAAAGCACAAACACACGCCGCGCGTGTGTGTGTGTGTATATATATATATATATATACACACACACACTCTCACAGACACACACACACACTCACACTCACAGACAGACACACACACACTCACAGACACACACACACTCACAGACACACACTCACACACTGACACACACACTCACAGACACACACACACTCACACTGACACATACTCACACACTCACAGACACACACACACTGACACATACTCACACACTCAGACACACTGACACATACTCACACACTCACAGACACACACTCACACTGACACATACTCACACACTCACAGAAACACACACTGACACATACTCACAGACACACACTCACACTGACACATACTCACACACTCACAGAAACACACACTGACACATACTCACACACTCACAGAAACACACACTGACACATACTCACACACTCACAGACACACACTCACACTGACACATACTCACACACTCACAGACACACACTCACACTGACATACTCACACACTCACAGACACACACTCACACACTCACAGACACACACTCACACACTCACACTGACACATACTCACACACTCACAGACACACTGACACACACACACACAAATTATTATATTTTAATTTAAAAAAAAAAAATGTCCACCCAGCCTCCTACCTGGAGTGCTGGTGGACTTTTCCCTGGGGTCCAGTGGGGGCGGGCGCCTTTCCGCAGTTCAGCCGCGGCGAGGGAGCTCTCTGCTGTCTGCTCCCTCTCGCCGCGCGGGCTGTCTGCTGCAATAGGGAGCCGGAATATGACGTCATATTCCGGCTCCCGGCATCAGCGCGCGGCGAGAGGGAGCAGACAGCAGAGAGCTCCCTCGCCACGGCTGAACTGAAGGGTGGGTGGAATCATCACCTCTTGCCCTCCCATGACAGGAGCAAGAGGTGAAACAGGGGGCACTGAGTGCCTGCAGGAAAGCTGTTCCTGCAGGACTCAAACCATAGGCGTGCCACGGGGATTAGGGTGTGCCCAGGCACACCCGGCACACCCTGTGCGCACGCCTATGTTGCCAATATCATAATTCTGTTTGGCCTCGTTAGCCAAACAGGATGATACCTGTTTACCAAACTCTGCAGGGTCCATTGCCTTGTCGATATGTCAGGATAGGTCGTTACCCAACAAGAAAAGGGAAATGGATAGGTGCTTATTACTGGACCTTGGAGTGGTCGGGCTTTAGGTGCTAAGTACAGAGATATAACTTGGTCTATATACAGCCAATGGCAAAAAATAAAGAAATATCCAGTAACACCTGTGGTTTCTTCTAAAAGGCAGACTTTTTTTTATTTAAACAAGGAAGTAGAGACAACATTCCGGCTCCTCTAGGAGCCTTTATCAAGCCTTTTATATACAGCCAAATATCAAGGATAATAGGAGTAGAGATGTCGCGAACCGTCCATGTTTCAACATGGATGCTGTCCAGGAAGTAGGAGGGTCTGGGAGGGAGGGTCTGCTGGAGATTGGCCGGGACGTGTCAGCTGACCGGAGTTCGCCACGAACCGTTCGCGAGAAGTTCGCGGACGGTTCGCGACACCTCTAAATAGGAGGTACATGGAATCAATAAACAGGCCAAGGCAGGGATATAGAAATCAGAGCAGTCAAGACAAGCAAGTATCAAACAAACAGAACTCAAACAAGATATAAACATGCACTCGGATATCCATAATGGAAACCATGATAGGGAAAGGAATGGTCAAGAGGAGGGGTTTTTATAGGCACAGGGGTTCTGTAATTGGCCAACATCATAAGTGTGAAGCCGGAAAGTGCGCCTGTCTCATTGCTGATGTCAGACTCTCAATCATAGTGCATGCCATAAATGGACGTGGGAATGCAGCGGCTGGAGTGATGCTAGAAAGTGCAGATGGTGGTCAGGAGGCCAGGGAGTCTCTAACATGGCGCTTGGGTGGCAGAACCACGAGTATCGTTACCGTTTTACTGCGAGAACATAAAATATAAGGAGGACCCATATGCCAGGAAAAATACTTCTTGACCTAGAAAGAGTGACAAATCCAGTGACGTTACTATAAAAAGTCTTACCATTAGGCTATAAGAAGGTATTTCTAGACAGAGTGAGTCCAGATGCAAATAATTACTAATTAAAGAAAAAGTTTCAGATAAAGCAATATAATATCTGCTATTTTAAAAATAAAAAAAGAGAACAGGAAAATGTAGGTGCAGAAACTTTCAAATACTGTGATAGTTTAAACTCTCAAATTTAAACTTTTTACAGTAAACGACCTGACAATGTACTCCTCTCTTAATTTCAACAACTGTTGTTGATTGGAGTATCATGTTGAGTCCTCTCAATTTCCCCTCTTTTTAGCAGTTCTCGAAATATAGCCACCAAGGTCACCAATACACATTAATATGAAGTTCAGATTCAGGAATTCTCCTTCCATTTATAATGGGCAAGAACATTGCTATACAAAACATCCTTCATTGCATGTGAAAGTGCCAAAACGGGGTCAATAAAACTAGACTATAGCTGTTCCTAACACGTTTTGCACATGTAACGCATGGCATGCGGTAGCAGGAGCTATGGTTTGGTTTTATTGGCCCCCTGTATTGGCACTATTTCAGATGCAACAAAGGATTAAGTAACATTCTAAAAGTCAAAAGGTATGTTAGGGGAGTAAATGTACACACAACTCTTAAAACTCTCTGAAACCATGTTAGAATAAAGAGCTAGATTAATCGGATTCTCGTGAGTTCATGATTACAATGCATGATCTAAGATCTTTTGTAAGGAGGAATTTTATTTGTCACACTCCATGTAACTATGATACATGTGTCTTTAAAGAGGAAAGGAATGAATTAATTTTAATATCATGACTAGTTATCCCCTACCTATCCTGGAACTAAGTACCTCCATCTTGTCCGTCACTCTAAGTCCTACACTGTCAGTCAGCGGTAAGTAATGATTCTTAAAGGAAAAATTACATTAAAAATGATTTAATAATAAACTAATTAATTCAATATTTTCAATACAGAGATTTAAAGTGGCTCCGTCACCATCTGGGATCTTTTCATATTTTGCAAAGACTCCCCAATGGTGACATCGCTGCTTGTAGTGCAGTGGCCTACGGGAAGCTATGTTTTATTCACCTGAAGCTGTCCCTTGCGGCCACCACCATCTTTATCCGGTGGATCCACTTCAGCTCCTGGGGTTTTATGAGCCAGTAGCCCATGTCAGGGCTTTACTTTCGTACATGCACGAGAGTACAACACCATCTATAGATGATCCGGCAGACAGGAGGAGCCTTCATGGACAATGCTTTTTTTTTCTCCCCACAGTTGTTGCTTGTGATAGCTGGGGGAAAATGACAAAGCTTCATGGCGGTAGCTCTGCATTTTGTCAAGTTTTATCAGGTTTAAAGGAATATACAATAACAAAGATACTTTTAAACAATTGATGAGGTGCGAGAATATGGCATAAAGAGCATATTAAGATATTTATATTTTTGTCAGTTTTCCTTTACCTCCCAAGTTGAAACCCCAAGCTGTTTTAGTGTGTTCCCCATGATTGCTACAGACACATCATCTCAATGCAACTGGTCACAATGAGTTGTTTACTGTAGTGGTATTACCTGCCACCGTGCAATGGAGACTGACACTGGAAAAAGTCTATTTAAGGTGTTTTAAAACTGTATTTTCTTTTTTTTTTTTTTTTGCTGTGTGTACAAACAGTTATGTCATGCCACAACAGCAGTTGACACAAACGTCTTAATATATAGTTTACATATGAGATGGCATTCAGTTAAAACTTGCACAATTTGGGGGATTATAATGCTTGACGAAGAAATGTGTTGCAAGAACAATTTTATATTTTAAACTGGCTAGTGACATGGAGCTTGGTAGGTTCAGTGTTGGTTATTCAGTGCTCAGTACTCGTGCTGGCCATATAGGGTAACATGCTCGAGTAGAGCCCTAGGTACTGGTTGCACATACCCTGTAAGGTCAAGGGGACTATGCCTGTGAGTGGTGTAGCGGGTTTAACCTTAACGCTTTAAGTTCGTAGGGTATGTGAGATTTTAACAAGAAATGTTTCCAGAAGGGGAGACCCTGCTGGGCCTCTGTTAACTAAACTTGCTTGGCATATTTGCTGGGTCTAAGTACCTGCCTAGGTGTGTATTAACAGGCTAGTAGTGGGTTTAACCCCTGGAGCGCCTCTGGTGTCATTAAAGTGTAATTAAACATAAGTAAAGTAAACAAATGAATACAAGTAAATAAATGCAGGCAGCCGAGAATCGACCAAAGATAAAATTAACTATGTGACAATATTGTCTGTCTTGGTACTGGCAGGCTGGAATATAGCAGCGAGTCCTTAGGGGGACATGGGTACCTTGCTCGGGGACATGTGGCACTGTCAGCCAATGCCTCGGCTCGGCAGAGCCATGCCGTCCCTGGAAGCTCTTGGGTTCGCCTGGATGCTTTTCCGTGGCAGTTCAAGGTGTGGGTTGCGCCCGGCTTGTCTCTCTTCCGTTGCCTCCCTGAAGGATAGCATCGCTGTTCCCCGGGTCTGTGGTCTCAGGAGTGGATGTAAGTCCTTCCCTGAGGGGCGTCTGCGGTTCTGGGTGGACGTCTGTCTTCTGGGAGGTCTGTGTTTCTGCCTCTGTATGGGGCGTCTGTGGTGTGAGGCCTTACTTGCTCTCTGCCTGGGTGGGCTAGGTACTTGCGGCTGGGTTGTTTGGTGGGTGGTTGTGCCCGATGGGGCCCTGCACACCTCCTCGCTTGTTCTCTTCTGTCTTTCCCCCAGCTGCTGCTTGTGCTCGTACCTTTAGTTGCCACCAGAAACGAGCAGATATCTCGTTGAGATGTTGTATCATGCGGTCTATTGTTGCGCACCCGTCTTGTTCGGCTAGCTGCTGCCTCTTTCCTCGTGGGTTAGGTACTTCCGCCATTTTGGACGTCAGTGACCTCATTCAGATATGTGCGGTATCTGCTGCCCGCTATTAGCAGAGTGTGTGAGGCTGCTTTGCGTGGACCGGGATGACCCCCGCCGGTCCTGGGGGGGAGGGTGTTTCACCGTTCCACTGAGCCCTGCTTCTGCGTCCGGAGTGCGGCCGCCCCTCCTGACTCAGCCTCGCGTGGGCCGCAAGCCTCGGTATGGCAGATTGGCTGTGCTGCTGCTCGTGGAATGCAATATTCGATGCCGCAGCTTCTCGTCTGCGGTCTGTATGTGTCTTTGGTTGGGCACAATACCCCGTTTATTTCCGCCAGACGTGGGAGCTCTTGCTGACCACGTCTGGGCTGCTTGGCTGCCAAGCTCCGCCCCTTAAAACTGTATTTTAATGTACATTATATTAAACTTGAAGAATGGGTCACGGAGTTCATTTTAGAATTTCAAGAATGGGTTTCTAAATAAATGCAATGTATGCAAATTGAGAGCCTGTCAAAAAAGGTTAACGACCACCGCACAGAGAGTAGGAGACAACAGGAACAATGTTTCTCCAAAGCAATGTGTGCCATGGTTGTGCCAGGACTGAACTGGACTTTGATGTCAATTGCCAATTCTTTAATATGTGTTTAAAAGTAAACAGAGCATTACGTGGAAAACAGGTTTACACAAGTTATACGTGATTGCAAATGATATATTAAACAGTGTACTTTGCAGAGAATTGATTGCTCCCTTTTAATGGCGTTATAATCACAAGATGATATTCTTAAAGAACTGCTTTTATCTAGCATGCTGCAAAATGTCTTCTACATAAGGAGGTACAGACTCTAATCAAATATATTTAACCCCTTAAGGACCAAACTTCTGGAATAAAAGGGAATCATGACATGTCACACGTCATGTGTTCTTAAGGTGTTAAAAAACAAACAAACAAACAAAATAAACACCTGACTAACAAAGAGGAGCTTATGTAGAGATACACATTGCTCATTGTTTTATTGCAATTCATTACAAGCTGCTATAACTAAGAGCTGCTATAAGTGGTTATAAACAAAGTGTTAACACCACATGCACAAACACAAAAAAAAAAAGACATTTTCTGTATGGATTCTGTTGAATGGTCAGAATTGTATCTTTACTTGTGAATCTACACAGTGTATTTTTAAGGCCTACAACGCCCATTGCTGTACAGAAAATAAATACTCATGGAAGAGATATTTATCGCCATCTGCAGGAGCAATGTAGTAGTGCAGAGTTTTAGCACCCCTGGTTAAACAGCCGACATTGTTCATTCTGAACAAAATAACTCATGTACGTTAGGTTTCACAAGCTAGCATTCACTGTTTGCAAACCATTTGTCCTCTACACTGTGTCCTAAAATGTTCCTTTTTGTCTCGTTTATACTTATTCTTATCTGTTCTCTCTAAAAAAAAGTCTACCTGTTCTCATCTCACATAACTTGTTTCCATTCACTGATTTAACACTATTATTTTTACTTGCTCTACAGTCTCTATATATTGCATATACCTTTAATAATCTTCAGACTCTGTTACATATGGATTGTACACCTTCTCTTCTGAGTACATTGCACTTTAAGAGGATACTGTAATCATATAAAGATTAATGTAAGTAAGGGATTTGGAGGGTGCCTTACTGGTCCGCTGGTTGCAGGGAGTGGCTAACCTGTGGACCGCCATAGTTTCAGTCCCTGAAGTCTTGTGCAGCGTCAATGATGCCGGGGACTGCACGCACCCCCCTTTTTATGACACAGCACATGCGCACCTTTGTCACTAGGAATGGAACATAACCACCGCCCTATGACGGTTTGGGGGCGTGATTATGTCAACAAGCCTACCAGCCTATAAAACAGCTAAAGTTTAGGTAAACAGTGCCCTGTTGTGGTCTCACATTGGCCCAATAGCACATTTATACTACTTTGAATTACTGTTATTGACCCAACTTTCCACTTGACTATTCTGTTTTCTGGCTCTGTCGTATCGTCTATCTGATTTCTGGTTTCCCTTGACTCTGGCTAGTCCTGACTATTCTACTGGTCTGTTTCCTGTGCAGCCTGGCTATTCTAAGGCCCAGTAACACATTTGATTACTGAGGTTATACGTTGCGTACTGGGATCATTGACAATGTAGTGGTTATGGTACTAGGTACTGCTGAACCTGTCCCTGAAAACATATGTTTTAAATTCTCAAATTTGTTTGAAATATGTAGGTTCACCACTGTAGATATTGAGGTCATACGGGGTTAATGTAACTTCCCTTATACATACTCGTTTTCCTGGCACTATAGTGCCCTGAGGGTGCCCCCACCCTCAGGGTCCCCCTCCCGCGCCGGGCGGGGAGCTCTCCTCCTCCCCACCTCTGATCCTCCTCTTCGGCTGAATGCGCATGCATTTACAATGCTTTCCTATGGACGCTTGCGTGTTCGCACTGTGATTTTCACAGTGAGAAGCACACAAGCGCCTTTAGCGGCTGTCAATGAGACAGCCTCTAGAGGATTTGGAGGCTGGATTAACCCATTTATAAACATAGCAGTTTCTCTGAAACTGCTATATTTATAAAAAAAAGGGGTTGATCCCAGAGGGACCTGGTACCCAGACCACTTCATTAAGCTTAAGTGGTCTGGGTGCCTAGAGTGGTCCTTTAAGAGTATGTTTAAGTCTTGTAAGTCATCCTCCTCGCTTGTGTTAGCTTCACTATGAGCCCTTTAACTTCTGCATAGCTAGAACCAATGTCTTTGAGACTTTTTCAAAAACTTTGGAAAATCTAAAAAATTAAAATAAGGTACTTTAGCCTTGAACCTGCAATTCTCTCTTTAGTTCTGCACATATTTAATGTGTTCTTCTTGTTCTGAAGTAGTCACAAGGTAGAGTCAGAATATATATTTTCAGTGATTTTAACAAGCTCCGTTGTTTCTTCCACATTAGGCACCGAATTCAGAAATTCAGAATAATTCCATTACAGTATAAGTTATGCTTGGCTTTCAAAGCTCAGCATTTCTTGGTCCTGAGCCCTGCAAATGTTATAAAGCATGTTGCTAAATATGAATGTATTATAAGGGTTTGTGCGAATTATAAGTCAAGTAATAGTTGGATAAATGATCCCTAAACATTTTTGAATATGTCTAACTTGTGGACCTTTCACAATCGGTGTGTGTAAAATTAAAAAAAAATACACATGTGAAAATGAAGTGGGTTTTTTAATTTTAATTTTTGCTTATTCATGGTTTTGGATCTCACTGTGCCGAATGGAAAATTGGATAAAGAATGGCAGCTAACCCGCCAAGTTTCTTTTATGAGTTATTGTGAAAATCTAGTTGCAAGAGGAAATTGTTTAACTCTTTAATAACTATAAACACAAAAGAAAATAATTGATAAAACTGGTTCTCAGGGTATCACCCGATTTGCTGTGACAGCAGTCCCTTAAAAGTTCTGTTAGATTTAATGCAAAGAGGCTAATAGGCAGTTAGTAGTTGTGGAAAATTGAGATAAAGTGGTCACAGGGGATACATTGGGGATCACCGTATATTGGGATCAATATAATACGAAGAACATTAGGATCGGGCTTATGTGCGACACCAGCTCTACCCGGTGCCACAGAAAGTACCTGTACAATATTTAAAAGTGTATGCTAGAAGGAACGAACCAACATGACTAATAAACAACGTGAGAGGGAACGGGTGAGGCGGTCCCACACAGACGGACCCCCTAATCTAATTATAGTTTAATAAGAGTCCTCTACGCAAAAGCTGACCAAGAGTCCTGAAACCCAATGACAGATCGGGCCCTTGTGATTACTTAAACACTCTGATACACAGTATGATGTTCTGGGAGTGAAAAAGTGCTCTGTATTTTATGTATTCCGCGTGCCCATTGTAATGTATAATCTTGTAACCTTTGTCCACAATGTGGGGTATTGGGGGATATATATATGCAAATGCCTGTTCTTTTCTTTGTGCATGCAAAAATAAAGAATTATAAAAAAACTAAAAAATGTATGCAAAGAAAAGATTTTCCATTCACAAATGTTGCAATATTGAAAAATATTTTTCAATTCCACTACTTTGATTCAAAATGTTTTATTCCACAATGGTTTGAGTATCTTCTGTTATCTAAGAACTAATCTCAGTGTCTGAGACATTGGATTTTCGCTAGAAGTCATTTTACTACATAGGACACCATTGTCAATTTCAAAATATAAGCACCCAATATTAAAACATTGGAGTGCTGGAGACGGTAGTTACCAGTAAGCACTCTACGACAACGTATGCTTGGATTATTTTTTCCACTATGAATCTAAATAATAAAAAAAAAAAAAAAAAATTCAGAATGAGAAAGAGAAACATTTGCAGTTCTCTGAAACACCGAAAGAAAGCACACATAAAAAATAGCAGAAGAAAAAAAAATCTATTAATTGTTTAAAAAAACAACAACAACACATAAGCAGTGGAGTATCATTGACCTAAGGGATGGCAGGTTAGCAGTTCATAGAGAAATGAAATGTGAGAATTAACGAAAGGGAGAATTGTTTGAAAATCAAAAAGTGAATTTCAAATTTAAAGGGACACCATAGTCACGATACAACTTTAGTTTAATGAAGCAGTTTAGTTGTATAGATCATGCCCATGCAGTCTCACTGGTCAATTTTTGGTGACTACAGTGTCCCTTTAAGGCCAAAGAAGTCAAGCTGGAAGCATAGCTGACTTGGAGAATGTTTCCAGTTCGGTTAATTTGTCCAGAAAAAGACACTACAGGCACCCAGACCACTTCAGCTGATTGAAGTGGTCTGGGAGCAGTGTCCCTGCCCCCCTTAGTCCTGCAATGTGAATAATTTCAGTTTTAGAAAAGCTAAGACAGCCACAAGATATTAGTGGACCATTGGTCGCCTAACTGACACTGGATGTCCTCAGGCTCTGCATGAGGATATCCAACATCAGTAAAATCCCAATAAGAAAGCATTGCAGTATGCATAACCCGCCCCTCCCAATCAGGTGACAGAGTGCAGACCACCAGGGCCTGCAGTGTTCCCCCTCCCTGAGAAAAATGTAAGAAGAAGGGAGGGGGGACATCACGTTTTGTTGTTTTAAATAAAAAAAATAAAAAAATAAAAAAATTATATATATATACTCCCAACCTCCTCCACAATATACATAGGCCGTACAACAAAGTCACACCCTGCACCCCCTCACACACATGGAACCGCTCACGCACACACACTGCACTCCTCCTCACACACACCCACTCCCCTCAAACAGAGACATGGAACCTCACACACACCCTGCACCTCTCACACAGGGACATGGAACCTCACACACCCTGAACCTCTCACACAGAGACATGGAACCTCACACACACCCCGTTACTCGTCATACACAATGTACCCCTCATACACAGACATGGACTCTCTCACACCCTGCACCCCTCGTCACACCCTGCTTCCCCTTACAGGTCGAACCTCTCACATACACACCCTGCACCCCTCACACACACCTACTCCACTCAAACAGAGACATGGAACCTCACACACACACTGCACCTCTCACACAGAGACATGAAACCTCACACACACACACACACACACACTCACCCAGTTACCCCTCACACACACCCTGCACCTCTTACACAAGGTCATGAAACCTTACACACACACCCCGTTACCCCTCACACACAATGCACCCCTCATACACAGACATAAAATCTCACACCCTGCACCCCTCACACACACCGTGCATGCCCTTTAGACACTTTTTGCATGGGATGCCAGCACAATTTTTGGCTATTATCTCCAAAGTGATAATTCCTCTTTACTAAATAGAGTGTATCTTGTATACCTGCTACACATATATAAGCAGACTTAATAACTATTAAGGTATGACATAAGGTAGTATGTAATGAAATTATAACTTTTCATGCAGCCTTTGGATTTACCTAAGGTTGGACAGCCTTGGTGTAAGGAATACAGCTTTGAATCCCTTTAAATATCAAATTCACTCTGAATTCCAGATAACTCCCACTTAGATAAACAACCATGCCAGTTTCACGACGTGGGCAATTATTCAACTGAGACGCGAAAAAATAATTCAGTTAAATCTGAATTGTTGTAAATTGGTATCTGAATGGCACAATTTAGGTTAAAATAGCAAAACTATTGACTACTACAGAGTTAGAGAATGTTTCCAGAGCAATTATTTTTACCTACAATTTGCAATTCAGATTTCATTTCATTTCACCAATTCAGTGTCTTGGCATCAATACCTTCAGTCCTAGTATGGCATCCATAAAAAATGGTGACACTTGCAGGGTGTAGCTATAAAGAGAAAAATATTTTTTTAAATATTACCCTAACAATGTAGGTCTTAAAAAATAGTTTAAAGATATGTGATGTGTGTTTAATCTTAAATGGGTTACAGAGCCTTTGAAGGGACCCGTCAATGCCCAAATACAAAAAATAAAATACAAGTCACTGTTTAGTAGATTTATACCAAATGAAAACATGCATGTATTTAATTACACATTTTATTATTGTAATTTATATCTAAAAAACAGCTTGCAAAAGCTGCAGATCGCTTATCTGAAGCTTTCACAGGTCCTCCCCTTCCAGTCCCGCCCAGACTTTCTGTGGCTGTCCAATCCCAGACTTCCCAATGGAACTCAATGAGAAGTCTTTGCAAGACAGGGGTTCTGAGCAATTACCTGCCTCTTGAGTTTAGCTCCACTGAGAAACTAAGCAGGAAGTAACAGGATCGGCTGTCTGATTGCCAGCCAGGGGGTGTAAACAAGGTTAATTTATAAAAATGTCAATGTCTATTAAAACCTGCATTTTTTGTAAAATAAAGAAAGAAAAAAGACACCCCTTTCACATACCAAGCACTTTTGCAAGCTGAAATGCTTTAGGGATCTGAAGTATTCATTTAACACAAGACCAACATGCCTTAACGTGTAACAAAGTAATAGTTTAAAAAGTAACACGCAGCATCCCATGACTTCTAGTATGCAAACACACACTACAGATCATGGGATGCCAATTGTTGCAGAAGTACACAAAGTCACTAAACCACTGTAGCGGTTAGTCCATGCAGTGTGTTGAGAAAGTATATTTTTTTTCACTATAGACTTACTAGTGATTTTGCCAACACAGAGAATACATTGTATATAAAACCTAAAAACAGACTTCACGAGAACAATAGCAGGATTATTTTCTAAAGTGAGAATTGCCAGGAATACAAAGTGAATTTCAAATTTATGACCGAAATAGCTAAACTGCAAGCATAGCGCACATGTAGAATTTGTCAAATTCAGCTATGATGGTCTTAGACTTGAAATTCACTTTGAATTGCCAACAATTATCACGTTTAGTTATCAACCCTGTAAGAGCTAGCAAATCGTAAACAGCTTGTCCTTCAATTATTCAGGTTTCAGGAACGTTTTAGCTATCTTGTGCCATTACAGGGAGAACCTATGCCAGTTGCAACTTGCACATCAGACTAATTACACTAAAAGGGACAGTACATGTTCAAAACTGGCAGTACAAGAGACACAACTACTCTGTTCAAAACTGGCAGTACAAGAGACACAACTACCCCAGACTATCATTGTGGCCTTCAGTGTAAACCTCACAACATTGGGAGATGTGAAATAAGGACATTGGGATCCACCAGGGAAATGCTAGTGATGTAACTTGTTTCATATGTGATGTTGAGAAGGAAGGGAAAGTCCTTAAAAAGGGTGACGAAATGGTATTAATGCACGCCAGGCTAACAGCCTCACTAAGAGCAGCCCATGCGTAAAGTAATCTGCTCGGCACAAGCATGCCTATGCTGATAGAGGACATTTTCTTTGTGTCCCCGTATTCAGGACACCAGGGAACTAAACCTGTAACGGCTCGACAGGAGCCTGAATTCAGGACGGTCCCATCATATCAGCAATAGAGAAATAGATGTTTGCAGGTAGATAAGGCTGTGTAAGAATTCTGCTCCTGCACCACATATTTTAGACAGTTTAACTTGCCAACTTACTGATAAGATATATATATATATATATATATATATATATATATATATATATATATGATTTACTTATTTGTATTTCTTTATGGTTTTAGAACTCAACCCCACCTAGAAGCATTCTGGAATTTGGGTCCCATCAAGTTCCAAGAATTTACCTTCCCCTGGTGGACTAAAACTCCTATCATACTCGGTGAGATTCTGGCTGAGGTTGGCAGGAGTTAAAATATACAGCTTATGTAATGGCTTACTGGTGCAACTGTTTGCAAAACAGCTCGTGTGTAACATATCCCCAATCACACCTCTTACAGTGATTGACTGTGTCTGATAATAATGTAAGTCCACAATAGCTTTATATGGCAAGTAAGCATTTTAATGTACACCTACCAAGTAATACTTAAAAGAACACAAAGCACCATAAGCACTACAGCCAGGTGTACCTTTCCATCTTAAATGGTCAAACCATTTATTCCAGTTTAACAACTCACCTGGGTCCCACCTGCCGCCACCTTCCCTGTCCATGCATGGCAGTACTCAGCGGATGTTCTCCGCCAATAAGTCCATGTATTTATCTGTGTAGTTAATAGAGCTCCCAGCATTAGAACAGGTGGCGACCGGCACATGGCAATCCCCAGCAAAGAAGTCAAATTGCTCTAAAAACAGTTTGACTAGTTACATGGGGGCAGGGGGCCATGAGACTTCTGGCATAATAACCACTACTATGCACTGTAGTGGTTGTGGTGGATGGAGTGGTCCTTAACACGCTAAGGATCCAGTAAGTGTAAATTCCCTACAAATCTAGCTCTCACATTAACAGTAAGAAAATTCAGTGGATTGAATTTCTCCCATTATAAGATTTCTACCTATTACGCAATTTTAACTCCCTTACTGGAAATAGAATTTCTGGGATTTTTAGTAAATTCCAAATTGGCTACTCTAAGGAAATTGAAGACAATTCGGAAGGAGATCAGATCAGTTTTAAACAAAGAACTTATGTCAATCAGATCTCTAGTGAGCATTGTGGGCCTATTATCAGCTTCAATTCAAGCAATATTCCCGGCTCCTCTTCACTACCGTGTACTCCAAAGGCTAAAGAGAGAACATTTACGAAATGTTCTTTGCTATTCAGACGAGATCGATTTAACTCCAGATACGAGAACAGAACTATTCTGATATCATGTCCAAACGTGGAACAGGAAAGCCATTTTCACATCATTCCCGGATCTAATTATAGAATCCGATACGAGTCGTATTGGTTGGGGTGGCCATTGCGGAGGAAACTCCACGGGAGGCAAATGGTCTCTGACAGAGACAAATATGCATATAAATGCCTGGAACTCATGGCAGGGTTTTTTGCTTTACAAAGTTTTGCAAAAAAAAATCCAATTGTTGCATCCTACTCAAGATAGACAATTTTTCAGGGGTCCAATATGTGAACCGCTTAGAAGGCACAAAATCCAAACAACTGGCTGATATTGGCAAAGATTTTTGGCACTTTTGCTTCGATCAAAACATCGTTTTTAGAGTGAAATATCTTCCTGGACATTCCAGGACGATAGCAGATTCCAACGATTGGATGTTGGATCCCATAATTTTCCGTCTGTTCTCCCTATGGGGTCCGTTCTGATACGACCTCTTTGCATCACGCCCCAGCCGCCAATTGAAAGAAATTTTCAGCTGGCGTCCAGATCCAGAAGGACTAGATCAAGATGCTTTTCTTCAATGTTGGAGGAACGGAATCAAGTATGCATTTCCACCGTTTGCAATGATTTCTCAGGTTCTTCTGAAGGCATGGTCTCAGAAATCAACCCTAGTATTGATAACTCCCCTTTGGCCATCACAGCCTTGGTTCCCTCAACTTCTCAGCATGCTAATAGATTACCCAAGACTCATACAAATGCGTTGGGATTCTCTGCACGATCTGGACGGGAATCTTCACCCCCTGGTGATATCAGACCAACTACCTCTAATAGCATCACTCATTTCGGGTCACACGAATCTCATAGAGAGTTTTCAGATTTAACTTGAAACATACTCTCAGAAGCATGGACACCAGGTACCGGTGCAAGTTACGGATTAACCTGGAAAATTTGGCTTAATTGGTGCTTGGAACGGGCTGTGTATCCCGTAGATTCCTAAATGTTATGTCTTTTTCATTTGATTCAGGTACAGCATACCGCGCTATTAATGTGTATCGTTCAGCGATATCAGCAAACCATGACCCAATTGAGTCATTTCCTGTGGGCAAACATCCCCTAGTATCCGAACTTTTAAAGGGCATTAAATTCAAACGCCATCCATGCCCTAAATATAATCCTACTTGGGAATGTTAATCTGGTTCTCCAATTAATAGAATCTTGGGGTGACAATGATTCAATATATTTATAATTCCTTTCTTTTAAACTCACTGTTTTACTTCTAATTTCTTTTAAAAGAGTTTCTGATGTTAAGGGTTTAGACCAAGCATGTCAAACTCGCATGCGGCCCACAATGGATATCTTTACAGCCCAGCGAGCCGCGAGTTTGACATGCTTACTAAGGCAGAGTAGGCACCTGCTTTCCTTAAATTGCAGGTGCCTACTCTGCTGAAATTTACCTGGCCAAGGAGGAGAGTTCAGTCTTCCTGCTCCTCATTGCTCCCTCGCGAGCGCCCTCTGTAGTGATGCCTTGTGCCAGAATATAACGTCATTCCGGCACCCGGCATTAATAAACTGCATGCGTGAGAGAAGAGTGAAGAGCAGGTAGGAGACCTCCCGAGAGAAGAACCCCAGGGAGAGGCCCCACACCAGCTCCCAAAGGTAGGGAGCAATAAATAAAATGATGTGAGTGTGTGCAAGAATGTGAGTGTGTGTCTGTCAGAGAGTATGTGTATGTCTGTCTGAAAGTGTGTGTGTGTGTGTGTGTCTGTCAGTCAGGGATTGTGCGTCTGTCAGAGAGTGTGTGTTGGTCGTTGTTGTGATGACCGCGGCTGGCCAGTGGAGGTCCTGGAGGTGCACGGAGGCATGCAACGCCACGTCACATTCAGACGTGACGTCAACGTGCTCCACCTTCACAGGGTTTCAAGGAGTAACAGGATGATCGGCTTTGGCACAGGGTGCGAACTGCGCCATTGGGGTTATACCAGAGGCTGGACTCCAGGGTCGCATACTGGCAGCAGCAATGTAAGTGGAATATTATCTTTTTAAACAAGGGTCGGGGTTTAGTAGAGGGGGGTGTTGGAATTTAGTATAGAGGGGGGGACTAGAGGGACGGACGGACTAAGAATTAATATAGAGGGGACGGATGGACTGGTTATTATAGAGTTAGAGGGGGACGGACTAAGAATTAGTATAGAGGGGGGGACTGGGGTTTAGTAGAGGGGGGACGGACTAAGAATTAGTATAGAGGGGGGGACTGGGGTTTAGTAGAGGGGGGACGGACTAAGAATTAGTATAGAGGGGGGGACTGGGGTTTAGTAGAGGGGGATGCTTTTTTTTATGCTGTACTTTTAAAAACAAGGGGGCACATTCCTAACACTTTAGCATCGCTTTAAAAACACTTCCAAATCCATTTTTTTTTTTACATAATCAGAACCCAAGCCCACACCGTGAATTCTAACTTATTGAATCAATGAGTGTCTGTGCAGAATGCAGTGAGCCGGACCCTGGCATCCTGTTGGTCAGGATCCATCCCCATGCTTGGCTCTGTACAGTCCGCTGGGTGGCACCGCTCCTGCAGGTCCTCCCCGCCGGCAGGTGGCGCTGTATACTTCCCGGGACAGAGCCAGTGCCGTCTTCCTGCTCCTGCAGCCAGTGTGTGCGATCAGCTGGCCGCTCTGTACCTGCTCTGTACTCGCTCTCTCTCGGCATGTCGTCCGTAATGTGCTGCTTCGGCTGCTGCGGGGATGGCGGGTCCGGACACATCCCGCTCAAAGAGATGCCGGCCGTGCAGCTGGACACACAGCATATGGGTGAGAGCTGTATACCGTGCCCACACTAAACGGCATCAACCGCCCCCGAATACCTGGCACAGCACAACGGACACAGCGTACACAGCATACACCGGGCACGGAGCCCACCCACCCACTACAACTAGCAACAGACACAACGTACACTGCACTGAGCCCACCGGACACTGAGCACACCCCCTACAGCTAGCAACGAGCCCACCGGACACTGAGCACACCCACCGGGCACGAAGCCCACCCACCCACTACAGCTAGCAACAGACACAACGTACACTGCACTGAGCCCACCCACTACAACTAGCACCCAGCCCACCGGACACTGAACCCACCCATTAACAGCAACCACTAGTCAGTCCCCCAAGCTAGTCAACCCACCCTATTCCAAACACCTAGCCATTTTCACTAACCACTTAGCCAACCCATTCCCACCAACCATCTATACATTCTCACTAACCACCCATTCACAACAATCACTCTGCCCACTCTCTCCCGCCAACCACCCAGCCCACCCATTCCCAACAACCACCTATTCCAAAGAAACCACCCAGCCCACCCATTCCCAACAACCACCTATCCCAAAGAAACCACCCAGCCCACCCATTCCCAACAACCACCTATTCCAAAGAAACCACTCTGCCTACCCATTCCAAGCAACCATCTATCTATTCTCACTAACCACCCAGCCCACCCATTCCCAACAGTCACTTTGCCCACTCTTTCCAGCCAACCACCCTTTCCCAACAACCATTTACTCTGGCTAACCACTCTGCCCACCTATTACCACCAACTAATTTTCACCAACCACTCTGCCCACTCTTTTCACACCAACCACCCTGCCTACCCTTTCCCAACAACCAACCACTCATTCCCAACAATTCTGCCTGCTCATTTCCACAAACTGTTCTGCCCATTCATTCCTGCAGTTCCAATATGTAGCAGGGGGCAAATGAGTTAAAGGAATAAGCCAATCACCATGACCACTTAAGTGATTTGAAGTGATCATGGTGCCTCTAGTCTGTATTTTCAGCATTTCACTTCCAAATGCTGCACATACCAAGTTTAATTCCATTGGTACAGGAGGTGTAACTAAACACCTAGCAATTGTGTGGAGGGGATACATAATGGAAAATATTTACATGGTATATTTTTCTATCACTGGAAGAACAATACATAATGGAATGAGATCTATCTAGGCAGCCATAGAGGCATTACCAACCATAGGTGTGTGATAAATATTTTTATTATGAATGTAAATCTGTATATTGGCACAATTTGTAGATGATAATATTCGTAATTTAATACTGGCATCTATTTAAAGAGTCTCATATAAAATCGGCAACAAATATAAAATTAGAAGATAAGCTTACGTGAAGGATAACTTTACCATAATGGTTCCCAGAATGGATATGAGTTGCTGCGCATGCCGTTGCCATCACAGATCTTTGTAGTTTGGGACTGCAAGACTTTTTGCCACAATCATTTTAACTGTGATTGGCACAAGCAGAATCCTGTAATTCCCAGCATGCAAACGCATTCTATGAGATGTGGGTTACAACACTTGAAGAGATGCACTGTGACTCGTGTTCTGTATTTTTATACAGGGTTATAAACTAAAGTGATAATTGTCAGGAATTCAAAGTGAATTTCAAATTTAAAGCCAAAATGGAAAGACTTGACTACAGCTATGCTTCCAGTATGACTATTTTTTCCTTAAATTTGACATTTATAGTCTAAACTGCTAATTTGGGTAATGAGTTCTTAAAAATTATTTAATGAATATTCCCTTTTAAGTTGCCAATTTCTATAGTTGTCAACAAAAAACTAAATCTGGGTGCAATATAAGCAACATCGGAATTATAAGCAATATAAGCAACATCGGAAGTGAATATAGGTTTGTTGTTATATAGTGTGTACATATAAAATACCAGTGTTGGTGATGTCTCATAAGTATTTTATTGTAAGGGTCCCTAATTCCTAGAACTGCTCATCCTTCTATCACACACAGTTTGGACTTCTTACATCTGAACATTTAACTCCTTAAGGACACAGCTTCACAAGTCGAAAGCCAACATGACAGAAAATTGTCATGAGTCCTTAAGGGGTTAAAGACCAAGACATTTTCTGTTTGGTACTTGTCTTTTAAACTCTTCCCACTGTGTTCTGTTCTAGAAATACCCTCCATTCTGTTTAGTGAATTGGTATTATCAGAGTCACTATGGTTTTAGATTACTGAACGGTAACATAAGCCTCTATCATTTATTTAGATGATGAGAGCCTGTAAATTAATACATTGGTGTCCTCTGTTACTGCTAACTGTTTGTTTAAATAATCCTTATATTCTGTTTTCAGGGACAGATGTTGTTATTGTGAAAAATGGAAGACGGATCTGTGGTACTGGTGCCTGTCTTGCCAATGCACCTCTTCACCAGAATAAAAGTTACTTTGAATTTAAAGTTCAGTCCACAGGTTAGTGCTCAAAATAGTGTGCAGAACTTGTCAAAACCCACGGAATAAAAACTCTCATTTACTCTATCTAGCATGCAAACTAAACTGCCAAACATTTTATTTTAAATGAAAGAGAGGACACATTCATGTATATATTATGCCTGCAGCATTGCTAACAAATATATATATTTTTAATAAATGTTTTTTGGTCTTCATTTATTTTCTTTTTAATTATTCACACCCCCCCACCCCCCTCAATTATAAGTTAAATGAGCATTGACATGGTTATAGGTATTAGAAATATTGTAGTGATTATTGCAAACTAGAAGGTCAAATTTGTCAGAAAAGTTTCTGAGAAAATAAGAGTCAAATCCTTCCCAAGATAAATTGAGTCCTTAACATGCCTTCGAAGGCACCTCAACTAAAGTGCGTTATTCAACAATCTAAATTTAGCTACTAATTCCTGAAAAATCAAGAAAGTATTCTTCAAAATCACAGTGATAGATTAGAATAATACAAAAAAACTGGTTAAGCTCTTATATAACGGTACCGTTAATGGTAAGGTCACCAATAAGTACAAAGTAGCTGAGCCAGTTCAGAAACAAGCTTTCACTGGTCAGGTCCCTCATGATGAGTTGCCTGACCGGCGAAACAATTGTCTGGCTCAGCAACTTTATTCTTATTGGTGACCTTAAAATTAACTCTACAATATTTTTACTTATGCCTTTATCCATATGTAGGTATCTTAGTGGTTGTGTATAGAGATCAGATGTACAAAGTTCTAGAGGTGGATAAAGCAATGCTCCTACTGATTGCCTCGCATTGTAAGACTTTACTTAAAATTGCTCTTTCTGCATAATTTCAATTTATTTCAATAGTGTACCAGATATTTCTTACATCGTAGTGCTCGTTTATTTGTATACCTGCATGCTATATTATAATTTTAATAGTCGTATTAGTGCAACATAATCCTTTCCTGACTTTTTAGGGATATGGGGTATTGGAGTCGCAACGCAAAAGGCAAACTTAAATCAGGTACCTCTTGGTCGAGATGTTCATAGTCTAGTAATGAGAAATGATGGAGCCATTTATCACAACAATGAGGAGAAAAGCAGACTCCCAGCAAATAGTCTGCCCCAGGAAGGTGATGTGGTGGTGAGTGTTCTTTGTTAAACATGGTAACTTGTTATAGAAAAGCACAATGTATATCTTTGATATGTATGCTGAACGCATCACGCCACTATAACTTTTTGCTCGTGTGTACGTTTATTTGAATCTGTCTAATCTATTTTACAAATGTACAGTTTCCTTCTAACTTTCGGTTGTAGCAGGAAGGGATAATATGTGACATATCAGGTGGTTTATTGTTGATTTGGTTATTCTGGTTTATCCACCTTCATGCATCCAGGGTAAACCTGAATAACCACACGGTTTGTGGCAATAATTAATTTCAGAATCCTAAATCTATCAGGATTTTTTTTTTTCTTCTAATTTTGCTATTTTGGCCTAAAATGCCTTTCACATCATCTTGGTGACCGACTATGGGGCCAGTTGGAGAGCTTGGCAGATGTGCTTTGTAACTAGCTCTGCCCCACTGTATCTGCTTGTGTTTTGCTCCCAGGTAGGGTTGTGCCGAGCAACCTGCAACAGTAAAATCCTTTCTGTGCACTGAACTAGTTTTTCCATTTCATAACCCAGGGGTATACAAGCACTGTCAGAAGTAGGCCACATGATGATAAGAAATGTATGTGTTTTGAGGCAACATTAATGTCTTTTATGCATTACAATGGCTAGAATACCCCGTAAACTTAGTGTGTATTTTTATAACAATACAAAAACTGTGGTAAATGGGGGCGGACAATGCATTATTCCGGGGCTAATTGCCAATAGAAGTAGTAATATTGATAGGTAATACAGTACACGAGAACAACTTGATGTAGTATCCGGGTGCAGGCTATTTATAACCCTAAGGAGCATATTCGTTACATGGTGAATGGAGATTCTACATTTAGACCAGTGTAGCTAGACCGAATGAAAAATTATATTTTTGAGAATTTATTTCAACATGATAATATTAACAACTTTTATGCATTCAGTTGTCTGTTCATAATAACTAACTATTTAGCAGCTTCATAGATGGCAAGTTGCTTTCACATTTTATTTGTTTTAGAATAATCTAAAATTACTTAAGATTTATATTTTTGTGATTACCACTGTCTGGTGGGTCACATATTGCACACTTGTACACCGTTTTTAAAACATTTTTTATTATTTATTAGGGATGCGCAAGAAAACTGCACCACTACATATAAAAGATCTGTGTTCTTCTACAAATCTACATAACTTGCCATATATGAAAAGTAAAACATTTTTTATTTTTTTCTACATGCTCGCCACACTGTCTTGTGAGTAGCTATTGTAATGTTGCTGGAGTAATACAAACTCTGAACCCAAAAAAGCATTGATATTTCTCACTGTAATTACAGAATGTAAGTTCTGTAATTTAAAATGTTCATTCTGTATACGTTATTGACACTGTTTTTGTTTTGTTTTGTTTTTTTTCTCCCTTTCTCAGGGTATCACTTATGACCACGTAGAATTAAATGTATATTTGAATGGCAAAAATATGCATTGTCCAGCATCCGGTATCAGAGGAACAGTTTATCCTGTTGTTTATGGTAATGTTTTATTTTTTTGCTACTTTGTTTTGCTCTCATTATTGTTTGCTTGCTACTTTATGTGACAAACAGTGGTAGCTTTTAGGGTAAACACAATTGTTGTTTTTATCACATTTTTTAATATTTAAAAATCAGAGACTTGAGTGAAACACCTAGCTTGTACCATCATCAGAAAAAAATGGCATAAACATCTGGGCACTCCACAGTGCAAATGTTTGGCTTACACTACATCAGATTACACACTGGTATAGGGACTTTGAACTATGGTTTAAATGGACACTATAGACATCCAGACCACTTCATCTCATTGAAGTGGTCTGAGTGCAGTAACCCAGTGGACGTCCTCACGGTCTGAATGAGGGACATCCAGAGACGGTAAAATTACAGCAATGCTTTCTTATGCGGAGGGCCTAATGCACTTGCAGCGCTCGCCCGTTGGGTAACTTTGAAGGAGGCTGCATGCAGACCCAGCACCGAGGGAGATCAGTGCTGGAAATGGGTAAGTATAGTAAAGATTTATTAACCCTTACAGTGCTGGGGATGGTCGCTAGGGAGCTATAGTGCTAGAAATATAACTTTGCATTCCTAGCACTATAGTATCCCTTCAAGTGTGCACTGTGGTGAGTGTCGGCTGAACAGGATGTCCTCTGTGCAGAGGCGGCTCTCTAATTAGGTGATTTAGGCGGCCGTCTAAGGCCTCGTGCTGGCGGGGGCCTTGCGGCCGCCTAAATTACCTTAGGGCAGACTTACATGTCCAAGCAGTCTGCCCTGGTAGGGGAGCGCCTGCAGCTCCGCCGGGAGTGAGCTGCAGACTGTAAAGAGTCTTGCAACCTCCATCCAATCAAAGCATTGCTGCGGGTTACCACGGCAACGCTCTGAATTCTGGAGATTGCGAGACTCCTATCACATGGTCTGCAGCTCACTCCCGGCGGAGCTGCAGACAGGATAGGAAGCCCACCGGACCACCAGGGAGCCAGGACACTGGACCACCAGGGAAAAAAAAGGTATTTGTACATGTGACGGACCGCCTCGCACCCCGACCAGGTACCTCCATAAAATCGCTACTTCCTAGCACTTGCAAGCACCATAAGCACTGCACTGGAACACCATAACCACCATAAATCCCACAAACCGCCGCAGTTTGGTTGGGGTCTCGCTGTGCTCCACCCACCCTGGACCCAAGACCAGGATCCAGCTTCTAGTGGGTAGACCTCTCCTAGTCCAGAGAGCATAGCAGGAACAGCTCTTACAAGAGCTTAGTGATTATACTCAGTGGAGTATAGTGATATAGCAATCCCCGGAGTGAATATAGTTCTCCAATCCCCCAAACATGAGCCAAGACTTCATGAAGGGGTAAACCAATCTCAGTTTAATGGGAGCAACACTTGGCCTTATAAGACAATCCCCACGCAAGGGGTACGCCCACATGGACCTGATGGTAGACTGATTTACAACATCACAGACCAATTACAATGAGGTTACAAGGCACGACACTACCACACACAGCACACAATCCCTCCCCTCTGATAATTGAGTCCAATACTGTATTAACTCATTTATCTCCAGGCAGAAAAACACATATTTCTATAAAACCCCAAAAACACATAAAATCCCCACAAATTGTACACCCCCTGATAGCCCTGATCTGGGTGACCAACATATCCAAAAGTCACCCAGATCGGTTCAGGGGTTCAGGAATTCTATGGAAGTCACATTTTGACCGACCGCATGCATGGTCCCATGCCCAAAACTGTTCCAGAGAATCAGGCAGTGCGGTCGGTCTATTTCGGGATTTTGAAATAAAGTCCAAAATACCGAACGTAGCCGTTCGTGAGTACGGTCAGTTTATGTCTCTCGTTCAGGAGTTTATTCTTACCGAACGCCATTTGACTTCCGTTCGAATAGCCGAACATCCATGGAAGGTAAATAGGTAGCGGTGTTTTTCCCTGCGAGTGTCCGATTTAAGTTCCATGAACTCGACGACCAAACACCGCTCATTGTACTCACGGCTTAAGATGGCTGCTGCCACGTGTTTTTGAATGCCGATTCGAACCACTTCGACCATTCGGGAGTTCGAAGTGCCGCTTCAAACCACTTCGGGAGTTTGAAATGTTACTGTACCAGTCCAAAAAGGCACAAATGGTGCTTTCAACCAGGCTTTAACAATGGGGCCATAGCCACAGGATAGGAGACTGGCAAACAGGCCCCTCCAAAAGCCAGTGGCGAGGTTACTTTCGTCACAGTACACCTTCCCTCCCACTGCTACCAATCACCCCCTCACTCAGCCCCCTGTCAACCGCTTATCCCTCACTCTGCCACCTGTCGCCCCTGCACACTCTGTCACCCCCTCCCTCCCACACTCTGCCATGTCACCCAACCTCCACACACACTGCCACCCCCCTCCACACACTATCACCATACTCCCACACAGTCACCCTTGCACACACACTGTCACCCCATTAACCCTGCCACTCACTTTAACCCCCTCCTGATCCTGTCACACTCATCCCCTCCAACCAAACTGCACTCCCCTCGCTCTGCCACACTCAAATTAACCTCCCTACTGTTACTCACCTTTTCTCTCACTGTCACGCTCCCCACTCCCCTTCCTGTCACGCTCCCCACTCCCCTTCCTGTCACGCTCCCCACTCCCCTTCCTGATGCCAAACTCACCCTTAACCCTGCCGCACTCACCCTTAACCCTGCTACACTCACCCTGTATCATTAACACCTCTAATCCTGTCACCCCCATCACTCTGCCACACTCACCCTGTCAATTAACCCCCTTAATCATGTCACATTCACCTCCCCTTGCCCTATCTCAGTCCAAAAATGCCAAATACCCGCCAGCCTTGTGATACCTCCCCAACCATGCCACATTCACCCTGTCACATTAACAATTTAAGCCTGTCACACTTACCTTATCTCACCCTGTAACACCCCCTCCTCAAACCATGTCACACTTGCCCTCCCTCATTCTCACACTCACTCCCTCACCCTGTCACACTCATTCTGCCACAGTTACACCTTTACTCACCCTGTTAGTCACCTCTGAAGACAATCATCATACACACAAAGGTATAAAACATAGCTTCACCATAAACAAATTCACAAAAGCCACAGGCAGCCACCCATATACAGAAAAACACAGCAAGCAGCTAACACACACACACACACACACACACGCTCACAGAAACATACATTCACATACAAGGATACTTACTCATAGTCACAGGTAGAACATGCCACACACACTCAGAATTACACACAGACCGATAAATACACATTGTGACTGTACGTCTTTATTAGTCAATATTTGTGTCTGTGCATCAGTGTGTGTGTATGCATGTGCAAGTATTTGTGTATTAGTGTTTATATGTGTGCATGTATTTGTGTGTGTGTGTGTATGCAATGCGAGATAAAGATAAAGTTGCAAGCAACATATATATTATATTTATACATACATATACAATACACAGGGAAACTTATATGATAATATACATGTAAAGAATTATAGAATATGTGGGGGAAATGTCTATAACATTCTTTTCTTATCTGTAACTTTATTATTTGGTAAATTATTTTTTTAAAAGCCCAACAAAAATGTTTATTCTTGTTTCCAATAACCCCTTCACACTGGCACTTATGTATACACGACTGCCAGGCTATACAACCATACCCAGCAATCTTGTATAAATCATTGCAAATGCAATTTGTTAATTGCAAATTATGCAATAACTACTGTCCAATAGCTCACAACGCAGCGGCATAGGGAGCCACGACAATGCAAGCCTCTGAAGATTAATACAGGGACCACCTTGCTGTAGCCAACGCTGCAAGCTTGTCATTCAATATACCTACAGCTCCTTATAAACACACAAGGCAACCCCTATTTATTTCACTAATGGTGTTAGTGGGGGCCTCATTTTTGAGTTTCGTCTAAGGCCTTACAAAGTCTAGAGCCGCCCCTGCCTCTGTGTAGGTGAAATTTCCCCTTCTGCGGGCTGAATGTGTTTAAGAAGCAAGTTGTGTTGATGTCTTTATAAGACCAGGGTTTGGTAAAGGGTTTTGAGCACTCCTCTTGTAGGAACAAGAGCAGTGTTAGTCATGTGATTGTCACACTTCTACAGAGGTTGCTCATATACCCGCTAAGACGCCTCTAAGCACTCTGCACTGCACTATTGCAGCATGAGAGGCAGATCTCCCTTTAATGCTGCCCCTTCACACAACTTATTAAAATAGAATTGGTTTTACTAGCGGATTCAATAACATTATCATGTATGTCACTTTAAGATTACTGGAGGTAGAGAAATGGTAGTAAATTTTAATATAGGCAAGACATATGCAATCTTATAATTCTGAGCCAAAACCATAATTTTGGCATCAGTGTACAACAGGTCATGCTCAGATATAAACTGCACTATGGTATTTTGCAACAGCTCATAAAATGAGACTCCCTCACATCTGATTGCATAAAATACAGGGAATAAAAAATCTATAGGAAATGGTGTGATCACCAATCATTAAACTAGTATTGATAGATGGATCAATTTTAAATAGTCTGTCACCAAAAACTGAGTATTCCATAAGTGTATTGGTAATATAGTCTGTGTTAAAATTTTAGTGCAGTCAAAAGCGATCATAAGACCAAGTAACAACTACTACATCTTATCATAAATGTCCAAGTTGTCAAAATGTGTTCACTCAAGTTTTGACAACTTCAACAGCCATTGCTAGTGACAACACTGGGAATCCAATATCATCTCGCTCATTGTGAGGCGTCATCTTGCAGGATCCTCCGTAGACATCAGTGTTGTGCTTTTGAGCATTGCATATGAAGCACTAGGAACTCAGGAAAGAAAATGGTGACACCTGTGCTGGAAAGCTCCAGATAAATATAGCTACCTTCTGCTGCACACCCAGGCCACAGCAAGTGGGAATGTCACCATTGACGGTCTTTGTGAAATATGCTGCTTTATAAATGGAAGTATGGAAGGGGAAAAAAGTGAAAAGACAAAATTTAGTGTATCACTGCATGGAAAGATGAAAACATAACAAAAGGGAGTGGTAACTTCCTCATTTAAGTTGTGAGTGCTTCTAATTTAACTTAATTTTTTTTCAACTGTTTCATACAGTGGTATGGTGTGTGTGTGTGTATATCAAAATATATATATATATATATATATATATATATATATATATATATATATGCGGATGTGTGTGTGTGTGTGTGTGTGTGTGTATGTGTATATATGTATGTATGTATATATATATATATATATATAATAAAAACAGTTCAATAGGGAAGCTTGCACTCACGGTCTTTTGAAGTTAAAAAAAAATAAACTTTTATTGAAGATCCATTAAAAGCATCAACGTTTCAGTCCGCGTTTGGAACTTTCTTCAGGATGATCATGACCCAGCCTAAGGCACACCTGTGCAGTAATCATGCTGTCTAATCAGCATCTTGATATGCCACACCTGTGAGGTGGGTGGATTATTTTGGCAAAGGAGAAGTGCTCACTAACACAGATTTAGACAGATTTGTGAACAATATTTGAAATAGGCCTCTTGTGTACATAGAAAAAGTCTTACGTCTTTGAGTTCAGCTCATGAAAAATGGGGGCAAAAACAAGTGTTGCATTTATAATTTTGTTCAGTGTGTATATATATATATATATGGGTGTATATATATATATATATGTGTGTGTGTGTGTGTGTGTATATATATATATATATATAAATTATACTTTCTTTTTGTCCTATGACTGTATTTGTTATCGTGGAAATGAGCCATCTGTTAATATGCATTTACTGATCAATAATCACTGTATATCCTTACATATATATTTAACTCTGCTTGTTCAAGTTGCTTCCCCCCATTGAACAGTTTGACTGTTAGTACTTTGAGTGTATAATGGAATTAATAAAGTTAGGTGGTTTTCCAATGCCTTACTGTAAATCTACCATGCAGGGTAATTTCATGCCTATTTTAATTTAAATAACCAAACCATTACTTTCATAGCAAAGCATTTTGTTATATAATTCTTTTTCAATAAGGTCTGGCGTAATACATCCTCCTAACCAGTTGTATACGTGCTTTGTTTCTCCAGTTGATGACAGTGCAATATTGGATTGTCAGTTTAGTGAATTTTATCACACGCCTCCATCTGGGTTTGAGAAGATTCTGTTTGAGCAACAGATTTTTTGAAGACTGGACCAGTCCCAATTTCTCCAAAGCTTCAACTCCTTGTCCCCCTACCTACAGCTTCTTCTTCACAGTCCATACTGAAAATGTGCTTTATATTTATATCTCACCTGATGCAGTCTTTGCATTTTTTATATGTGTAAGTATTTTGCAAGGTGCCCCCCACCTGCAGTGATCACATACCTGTTTAGCATGGAAATTTATGAATTCTTTGAATTCTGAAAAGTTCTGTAAAAGCAATTTGTTGTCAGATGGTGTATATGGAAATAGATCACTAATCTCACATTTTCAGTATTAAGAAATTCTTTACTTACTCATAAGTGTTTTAATGCATTCACTATGGAGCTTCTCGGTTATTGTGATTCAGACTTTGTGCTTGAATGAGTAATGAGATTTTATTATTTTTTTATTTTTTTTTATTTTCATTAAATTTAGTTTTAATTCCCCGGTGTGCAAGATTTTGGTGATAGCCAAGGCCTGTACATCTGTCATTCAGCAGTTGTCCATCATTGGTCTCTGAAACAAACCCAGTGCCTTATGGAGTATTTTGCTCATGTCACTGTGCTGATGTAAAACTTAAATGATGCATGCAATCCCTGACATCTCCTTGACTAGAACATTATTACAGCATTTTTACAAGCCACAGTGTGCCTGCATGGATTTATGTGACCCTTATAAAGAACCTATTTTTGTGCCCTCATTCGATCAGACTGGCATGCTCTGTGTTTTTTATATATGAGTATAGTTAAAAATCTTCCTAACTAGTCTTTGATTAATATAAGGGGAGTCATTTTATATGCTGATGGTGACAGAAAATCTCTATCATGAATGGTTAAGAAGAAACCAAACTCAAAGCCTCACTTGCAGTCTACCCCAGCAATCCGAAGTGGGAAAAGTGAGCATTTCTAACTAACTGCACAAGTAGGAATGGCCATTTCACTAATACAATACATTGCTAAAAGTGTTCTCTTCAACCAAACAAGTAAAATATTAATGTCTATGCACATTACTTATATGAAATAGCTTCTACCGGTGGATTGTGTTTATGTAATGTGTAGACACGATCTAAACTTAATGAACACACATTCACTAAAGGCGTACAATTCACTACACATGAGGGTACTTCAGTATTGGGCTATGATACAAATCAAGAACATTTTTATACAGAATATTTTGTGTTAGTCACCTGAAAATGTTTTTTTTGGTTTTTTTTTCCTTTTCCTATTTCATTTAAGCTTTTGTAAGATGACTTATTTGAAAGCCAAAACTATATAACCAAATCACACCTGAGATGCTCTATGCGATGGGGTTGTCTCACATTGAGTAATTTTAACAGAAGAAACTATCTTTTAATAACGCAAGCAGCTTCACTTTGTACAGTGCTTTTGGCTGTCAGAATTAATGGTTACAATGAATGGTGCCCATTTTTAAAGGTAAATCAGGCTGGGGACATATTATGTACACAGGGCAAAAACATAAAATATTGTCCTAAAATTGGAAATAGATTTATTTTTTTATGTGACTGCTGTGCAACAATGCAGTCCTTCACTTTTTGATACCAAAGATCACACACAGGGTTTATTGAACATGCATTGTAAAACATATCACATCCCTCTTCAGGTACATTTTTATTTTCTATATAATTGCATTATAGGTATTCTCTTAAATTGCCTTAGTTATCTTGCTCGGTGGTAGTTACGAAATGTAGTTCTCCAGTGTGGCATAATCCTCATACCCTGTAATGTTCCATCGGAAATATAAATTATAATAAGTATGGGGATAAAAGTTGGCCATCGCTCTCTTACTTTCCATGCAGTAGAGATGGGACATGACTTAAACACATTGGGATATAGAACTGGAGAAACGCATGAGACCCATTTAGTGCTCTGTTCACATTGTCTATTTATAATAGAACAAAACATTTTTATTTTTAATTTTTTAAATGATTTACAAATGTATATTAGCTTACTTTACTTTTTTTTTTATTTATTTTTTAATCAGGGCCTTAAAATGAAAGCTATAACCATGAAGAAAAAAGGACCTTAAATACCTTTAAAAAAAATTATATTGTTTCTTTCCACTATTCATTTTAGTGTAATTATTGTTTTTCTAATCTACATCTGAAAATTGCCTAAATAATAGCACTCGGTAATGTTGCAGTATACAATGGCGAGGCGCCAGGCAGAGCAGTAATCTCAGATCCCCCTTTATTTAACATTTTACAAACCATGCCATTACTAAAATATTAGCCCTATATTTATCTTGCGACTACCTCCGCTTTATGCTGCACAAGAAGCTTGGCTTTTCAATCCCTAACAAACCAAGATAGCAGTAAGAGAGAAGGCACTTTCTTTTTAATTCTTTCTTCTCTTTTACTGTGGCATTTGTGTGCGTGTGTGTTTCTCTTAAAACCAAGCATTGAAGTGCTTTGTTTGTTAAATGATCTTCATCATAAATAGCGGGAGCGGGAGGAAAGTATATTATTGGTACTAATTGCCGTATTGCCACAAGAGGGTAGCAGTGAACTGTCTTAAATATACAGAATGAGCAGGAATTCACATCATAACTCTTTTTAAAAGGAACAATTGCAACTGCCTTGTTATAATATTTAACTACTCACCGCAAATTTATAAATATAAACAGGCAAAAACTTTTCTGTGGATAAGTATCAAACTACTGTCTGCTTGATGTTTCCAAGCACTTTTAGGGTAAACAATGTAGTATGGGTGACAGAGAAAAAAAATCATGCTAATGTTCATGGTGAAGGAACCAGTGTTTGTTTTGGCAGCAGATTTCAATTTACTTTTAGTCATTGTCATTTTAGTCATCTAAATCTCCAGAAGATTTTTGTTGACACGACTAAATTCGAATGGGTTTAGTTAAAGCCTCTATCTGTTTAGTTTTTGTCATTAGTCTTTTGACTAAAAAGCCATTTTAGTTTTAGTCTTATTTTAGTTTACTTGTAGTTGACTAAATATCAAAAATTTTAGTCCACTAAAATCTGACTAATTTTTAGTCACCATAATTAACACTGGAAGAAACACTCTCTATGTAAAAGATACGATGGCCTAAACCGTAGCTAAGAAATCATTTGGGGCTATAAGGCATGTAGAACTTCTTCAGACTCACCAGCAGGACAAGCAAGTAATAGAGTAGTCTAACGTGAAAATCCATGATCACTAAAGAATTTAGAGTTATGTAAAACCACAATTGGGGTAACCATGAAATCCATGTATGAATTTGTCAACCCTGCTTTGAAAAGCATAAACCATGCCAGCCAGCCATCATTCTGCTATATGTTTCTTGTTTAAATTGGGTCATTTTCATAATTCGGAGTCATGCATACATAGCATGTCATTTTTAAAAGTAACCCTAAAATAACCTGGGTAACATTGAAGCAAAGATGAATTAGACTTGTTATCAAACAGACTCCAACTAGGGTGTACATTGCAAAGTTGAAGGCGATGACCTGACAAATGCTGATTAAAGTAATATTAAGATATTTAGATTTCTTGATTATATTTTTTCCTTGCTACAGCGGTGATCATATGGGACTATTTTAATGTAACCAAACAGACGTGCAGAACAAAACCTTCTTATCCCTGTGCTGATTGGCCCAGGTTTGAACTGACTGAGAGACTGGGCTATTTTAGAGAAATCTGGGAACCTGCTAGCTCAATGTATAAACGCAGTTTGATTCTGCTGCCAGAGAGTGACAACGTTTGTTGTGCAGAACACAAACCATTGGCTGGGAACTGTCCACTAACATTCTCGGGCAAATAATGATGCCGGATGCAGATTGCAGAAACCCTTTAACACAAAAATGGAAAATCTGCAAAATTCTCTACAGTAACTAAGTTTTCCAGCTTTTTATTTATTTGCAAATAACTCATTCCTGACAATTCCCCAGCTTAGTGAATAACTCAAACAATCTAAGACTACATATGCATATTTACTGATATTTGATGGGGTGGCAAATTGTAGCGTGTAACAAAATGTTGGATATCTAATCATCGTTGCAAATAGTGAACCACATTATATAATACACTGCCAACGTTATTGTCAATCTATCTATACTATCTGTTATGGTTTTATCAATACAATTGCTTTGGTTGCTGCTATGTATAGCCCTCTATTGGTGTTTATTTTTTTAGTTTGTAATTGGTGTGTGTAAAATGTAATTATATTATTTTATTGATATGTTTTTATGTACACTACATCCTGCACTCTGGAGAGGTCTAATAATGAATATTTTGACTGTATACAAATAATTTTGTGTGCTTCACAGAAAATCTAGTATACACTATTCAAGAGATTTACAAAGTTAGAGATTGTCTGTCTGGTTTCAAAGCATTGCATACATGTCTGTTTTTTAACTTTGAATTCCAAATCCAGATTTCAACTGTTCATTATTTTCTTAAAAGGGTTGGTCTTATGGTATTTGTGTACTTAAATAAAATTTAACATTTCCATCAATTAGTTATTTTTTTCACTTTTATAACTCTGCAACAATGTTGTTTCGGTCTTAATATGGAATGCATAATTTTTGTTAGTCTAAAACAGGTGTGCTAATATGTGTCTGTGGCACCCAGATATTTTACATCCTGAATTGGGGGTGCATTTCAACATCCCTGGTTTAAAACATACTGAAGAGTTGAAAGATTGGTTAGTCTCCAGCAGATAATTTTTAAAAAAAAAATTTTTTTTAAATGTTATTTCCCCAGACGCCGGTTAAAAAATGGTTTAACACTTAAATTGTATGAAGGTGATGGTAAATTCCATAAGCACTCAATCACCTTGGGGTAGCCCTTTGAGTACATTTTTACTGAAATGTTTAGTATGTTACATATCAATACATTTTAAAATATTTTATTCCTGTCCATTTTTTTTTTTCTCCCACATGTTTTAGAGAATCTAACATTGGTACGCTCTGCATTCTGTTCCTACAAAGCCTTAAAAGCATTAATTTGCAGTAGAGGCTTTGGTGGTTTTCTTAGATTTTT